TTATGCACTGCTTCATGTGTTATTGATGTGTGTGTGTGTGCGCGCCGGTGTGTCTCTGAGCTGTAAGCTGAGCCTGTGTATCATGTAGTCAAGGGTAGATGGAGAGAGCAGGATTATCAGAGAGAGAGAGAGAGAGAGAGAGAGAGAGAGAGAGAGAAAGAGAGAGAGAGAGAGAGAGAGAGAGAGAGAGGGCTGATACACACACAGACAGAGAGAGGGAGAGGGAGCCGCATCTGCTGAGGGTGGTGTGATACGGTGGCTGCTGAGGTTCATTCCACACACATGCGCATTCGCCTCTCTATCTCTGCATGTGAATGTGTGTGTGTGTGTGTTGATAGTATTTTCCTGCCTTTTAAAAGCTGTTATTACCCAAAAAATGATGATTTAAATGATTATATATTTAATATTGATCTCTCAGGTGCTGTTTAACAGAGCGAGGTCAGTTTTGACAGCATGTCGGCTCGTATATTTATTCAGCAGAATGTCTCATTTCTTTCAGTTTGGCTGATATAAAAACAAATATTTTACATCAATTGCTCAAGCTCAGTGTTATATAGAGGAATTATTATTTTTCAATAGTAAAATCAAACCAGAACAGACCCCGGTTATCCAGTGACTTGCCTAACTACCCTAATTATCCTAGTTAAGCCTTTAAATGTCACTTTAAGCTGCTCAATATCTGCTTTCATTCAGTTCAGAACGTGTGAGATCAGTAGAGTCACTGCAGTTTAACCATCACAGACTGTAATGCGTTAATATAATGTGTTCCACAGACAGCTTAAAGCATTCACACATCTCCTGTTACTTTATTCATACATTCATTCATTCATTTTCCCTGTATTAATCAGGGGTCACCACAGCGGAATGAACCGCCAACTATTCCAGCATATGTTTTGCACAGCAAATGCCCTTTCAGCTGCAACCCAGTACCGGGAAACACCCATACACACTTAAAGGGACTAAACGGAAGGAACATGAATGAATATACATGTATTCATATATATATTTTAACATTACACATAGTTACACATGTTCATATCACATTATATATTGCAGAACAACTAAATATTGCAATGTCAGTTTTTCCAATATCACGCAGCCATACCTGAAGCTGTACACTAGTGTCTTGAAGAATATCTAGTCTAATATTATGTGCTGTCATCATGGCAGAGAGAAAATAAATCAGTTATTAGAGATGAGTTATTAACTCTATTATGATTAGAAATGAGCTGAAGCAATGCTCTATTAAACTTTATTATATGATCATTAATAAACAAATATTAAGTCTTTAACTGTATGTACACTGAAATGAACATGCTCAAGCTTTAATATGACTGAATCGACCTACATTCATTCATTCACAGCAGCAGCGCGGCTCATTCTCATGGGTTAAATCAGAAATAGCTCATTAAATTAACAGTGTAAATATAGTGTGTGGTATAATTTGCATTTAGCACTGATTTAAAAGCTTTAAAATGACTATCATATCACACGTAATGATAATACATCATAATTATTCTGACAAAGGCACAATAAAAATGTTGACTTTGTCAAATAATATTATTTAACACCGACCTAAATGCATCACAGCTCATCTCATCTGTGTGTTTTAATAAGGGACACTGTACAGAACATCCATAATCTAGCTTTTTTCCATTTTTTTTGTGATTTGCGCTTTTATTTTCTGTTCATTTCTGCTTCTGAGTTGCATTACAGGGCATTGATCTTCCTTTCTTATGTTGGTGTTGTATATTACACTACAGAAACCGTGCAATAAACTGCAGCACATTTACTGCTATTGTACACACTCATTCCTCTACAGATTATTCATTATACATTAATATTATTATTTCAAACCACTAAAATGTCAGTAAAGTCACTTTGTTAAACTGTAGAATTGACTTTTCACCATCAGAAGTGGACAGAGCAAAGATCAACATCCCATAATGCAGTTCACCACCACAAGTAAATGGAAACGGTTAATTAACAGGTATTTTGTGCAGTGCAGAGAGGGGAAACTGCCTCCGCTCTGCTTGTAAAGGACTTTGAGGACAGAAGTGGACAGACTTTATAAATAGCCAATAAAGAGCGAGCGTTCCTGCTGTCCGTCTGCGTAAGAGCCCTAATCTCCTGTGATAGTGAAGGCTAATTGCTAGTGAAGCTGGGTGGGGGGAGGGGGCGGAGTCTTTCCTTCAGGCACCGCCCATAGGGTGGACTGCAGCCAATCAGTACCACTCGCAAGCTATATAAGGACGAACAGTTGTGGATGGTGTGTTCAGAAGGTCATGTCATGATTAAAGTGCAGGAGTGTGTGTGTGTGTGTGTGTGTGTGTTCCACACAGTGTTTCACACACACACTGCTGAAATTATCCATCTCTGTCAGTGTGTGCAGAATCAACACATTCAGATCCGTCATGTATGTTGCGTATTTTCACACTCAGTGTATCACGCTCTCACTGTTGGTGTTTAGGAGCAGTTCAGTCACTCAGTTTGTGCATTATTATTATTCAGCTATTATTGTTAAAAATTGTTTTTGTATTTTGTTTTGCATTTGGTAAATAAAATCATATATATACACACACATATACAGTGCATCTGGAAAGTAGCTATTGATAGCGCTTGACTTTTTCCACGTTTTTATAGTACGACCTTATTCCAATATGGATTAAATTGATTGATTTCCTCAACATTCTACACACAATCCCCCATAATGACAATGTGAAAAAGAGTTTTAGAAATTGTTGCAAATTTATTAAAATAAAAAGCTGATAAATCAGATGTACATCAATATTCTCAGGCTTTGCTCAATACTTACCTTATGCAGCGATTACAGCCTCAAGTCTTGCTGAATATGATGCCACAAGGCGTTACGTGTGGAGAACAGCAGGCGGCGCTCATCAGCAGGCTAACAGCATCCCTACAGTGAAGCATGGTGGTGTTGGCATCATGCTGTGGGGATGTGTTTCAGCAGCAGGAACTGGAAGACTAGTCAGGATAGAGGGAAAGATGAATGCAGCGATGTACAGAGACATCCTGAATGAAGACCTGCACAAGAGTGCTCTCCACCTCAGACTGGGGCGACGCTTCATCTTCCAGCAGGACAATGACCCAAAGCACACTGCCAACATATCAATGGAGTGGCACAACAACATCTCGGTGAGTGGCCCAGCCAGAGCCCAGACCTAAATCCTATTGAACATCTCTGGAGAGATTTGATAACAGCTGCACACCGTCACTTCCCATCCAACCTGATAGAGCTTGAGAGGTGCTGCAAAGAGAAAAATCTCTGAAGGCAGCTGTGCAGAGCTCGTGCATCATATTCAGAAAGACTCGAGGCTGTAATCACTGCCAAAGGGGCATCAACAGAGTCTTGAGCAAAGCTTGTGAATACTGATGTACATCTGATTCTTCAGCTTTTTATTTTTAATAAATGTGCAACAATTTCTAAAACTCTTTTCTCACACTGTCATTATGAGGGATTGTGTGTAGAATGTTGAGGAAATCAATCAATTTAATTCATTGTGGAATAAGGCTGTAACATAAACACATGTGGATAAAGTGCTATCAATACTCTCCGCATGCTCTGTATACAGCACAGTTCACTGCAGTAAAATCTAAAGTGTACTACGGTAGTTTACCAGTTCACTAGTACAGTATGCTGGAGAATTCTTTAACCAAAGTATTTACCATTTCCCTGTGTGTGTTAATAAAAACATAACTGAAAATAAATGAGCAAGCGCAGGACGTTTTCTTCAGTCAGTATGATGCAGAAAGACAAAATACAAAGCAACCAAAGTTTCGTGTATTAGAGTAGTGGATGTGCTGAAGCCGTCTGGAGATCAGATGATCATAATCCACTCATCAATATCAGCATTAGACTGGAGCCAGTAGATGATGTGGAGGGGCAACTGGTTAGACCGCGCTTTATCTTTCTGTAGGCTCCTGCATTCTGATTGATTTCTGATCCTTCAGCGAATACTGCATTATATATCACGATGAACACGGCATGTCTGATCTAGTGCATCTGTCATGTCATTATATGTGCATCAGGTGCAGGACTGTGCACTTTACAGAGGAGGAAAGACAGCAGTCTAGTGCTGTTAAACAGCTATATATGTGTGTGTATATACTGTATGTGTGTGTGTGTTTCAGTGTGTGTATGCTTTAAAATGTTCCATATATTTATGTTTAGAGATCATTTGTATTCTATATAAATATTTGTATATAAATACATGTTAATTGACTTTACATGCATGTAGACGACTCACTCCAGTATTACTAGACTCATGATCAGACTCCAGTATTCAGTATTATTCCAGAGCTCATTCAGATTTTCCTTAAACTGGAATGATAAACAGCAAATGTATGATTCACACTAAACTGAATCCATTATTAATGTGAAATAATGCTTACATTTGATAATGGACACTTGGTTGTGTTGCTTGACTTATTGTTAAACGTGATAAACCACTATCAGAGTCGACAGTATGAGAGTGGTCATCCTCCATCATGCTGGTGTTTAGCTGCAGATGCTGAGACTCCACACACAGCTTCATCATCTTCATCACATTACCTGAATAATGTAACCTGAATTGACTGAAATAGGACAGTAACAGAGTCTTCACATCATTCTTCAACTATTGCTGAAAATTAAACAATGAGGGAAGAATAACGACACCCCTCAATGGCTCACAGAGTTTCCTGCCACAGGAAGTGACATCACTTGCTGTGGCAGTGACTAATGGCTGCAAGAGCTCGTACACGGAGAATAAGATGGATAAAAAATGTAACTCAGGATTTGACCACATTTTGTTGTATTGTTTATTTATTTGTTTGCTGGACATTAAACTGAATTTAGAAATAGTTTTGCAGCAAATCTTGAAGCTTAACTAATGAAATAAATATGTAATGGACACATGAATCACTAAATGAATGAATGAATGAATGAATGAGCGGTCTGAGTTGTCCTGGTATAATGATGTTTTCTCTGTCTCCGTCAGAGCTGAGCTCCACTCTTATGGAGAAGATGCAGTCTCGGGATCTGCTGCTGGGTCTTCATCTGCCTGAGCTGGATGATCTGGGTCAGTTTCTGCGCTCTCTGCCCACCTCCGCTCTGCTGGGTCTGGGGGCGCTGACCGCTGTTCTGGCCTACTGGATCACCAAACGCCCGCGGGCCATCGTCCCGCCCTGCGACCTCCGGCACCAGTCTCTGGAAGTGCAGGTCAGAAAAACACACCGCTCGACTCTCCAGCAGTGATGCTGGAAACTGTGGGACTGCAATTAACCGTTACTGCCATAATCAATTAGTTGGCTGGTTATTTAATTGATTAATCAGATTAAAAATATATATTTTTTCATGCACATTTTTCTTATCCCCTTAACGTGCATTATTTGAAAAAATTATTTGGCCCACATCTTGGCTTGAATAATACACTGACACAACTCTGATGAATATTATGATAACCTATGATATTGATAACCTATGGATAAAAGGTCAACAAGGTGGTTACAATGTCTGTTAAAGGGTTGATATAGCTTTAGAAAACCATAATTCAGGGTATTATTTATGTTTAAAAGTATCCTAAAAAATGCAAAAGCCACATACATGGAGATCAATGACCTTAAATAAAAAACAAAGTTTATTTGTGAACAGTGAAACTTCTCTGAATATTCAAAATATAAATAAACAAAAAGAAAAGCAAGTGTACTCTCAGAAATAAAGGTAGTTTGATTATAAATTAGGGCGACTAAGTGGTGGCTAAGTGGCCTCACAGCAAGAAGGTCTCTGGTTCGAGTCCCGGCCGGGTCAGTTGGTGTTTCTGTGTGGAGTTTGCATGTTCTCCTCGTGTTGGTGTGGGTTTCCTCCGGGTGCTCCGGTTTCCCCCACAGTCCAAACACATGCACTATAGGGGAACTGATCAACTACACTGGCCGTAGTGTATGAGTGAGTGTGTGAATGAGTGTGTTTGGGTGTTTCCCAGTACTGGGTTGTGGCTAAAAGGGCATCCGCTGAGTAAAACAAATGCTGGAATAGTTGGTGGTTCATTCCGCTGTGGCAAGCCCTAATGAATAAAGGGACTAAGCTGAAGGAAAATGACTGAATTAATTAATGAATAATTGATTAGCTGGGCAGGTATTTTATAATTCATCGGATAAAAACTTAATTATTTTTAAAATTTGACATTTTGCTTATAATATTAGAAAACTGCCCCTTTCAGGCTTTGATCCTTATTGTGGCGTTTTGGTGTCTGTCGCTTTAAATGCAAATGAGATTATGCTCTTTTCAGAAGAGGGCGGAGCTACAGATGCCTGTGCATCTCCATAGTGACAGCCTCAAGAAAAACTCACTTTATTAAAGCCTCATTATTTCTGAAAACAAGTCAATATTCAGTGCTCGTCTTGAAAATGCCTCCTGATTTAGGAAGTTTTAGATATTTGGACTAGAAACAAGACAACAAATAAGAATGCAGTGTGAGAACGAGAGCGTCCTGCATCCCACAATGCACCTGTGATCATAGCACCATTGTTATCAGACCAGCAGTAAATGCATAGCTGTGTGTGTCCTGACATGATCTGTGTGCTCTAATCTGGCTCAGACCTGACGTTTAGTCTCTGTTTTGCATAAGCAAAGCATCAAGGAAAGCTGTCACGATCAGGACATACACAGACATATACTCAGCTCTCCTTTAATGATCATTTCTGGACATCCTAACAGATCAGATCCTCTCTGCATGCGTGTGTAAATGATCATGTTATAGCTGCAGTGTCAGAGAAGCACATGTTTAGTGAACATCAGCAGATGCTCAGTGTTCACAATCAAAGCCAACGCAAATACAGATGCAAACACTGATGCAAACGCAGCTGCAGGTCAACAACCCCTCTGACAGCTAGTGTTGGAGAAAGCTCCCTCTGAGAGTAATGCGGTACAGTGTTGAGTTCCTGCATAAAACAGTCACTAGCTGCGTTACGTAAGTGAAGCTGATTTATAATCTAATTTCCAGAGTTGACCCTCAGCTGAGGATTGATTATAAAGCGTGTTTGGCATGCTGTCCCAGGAGAGAGACATGAGCTCAGAAGATCCTCAAGCCTGGGGCAGAGAGGTCATGTTTTGATTTTCGATTGGTCTTACGCAGTCATGTGATGCGAGTTCACCAAGCTTGAACTTTTCAACGCGGCGAACTGCGAAACTTGTCGCATGAGCTTGCATTTAAATGGAAGTCTATAGGGAGAAAAGTGCTGTGTGACTTGTAAACATCTGGACCCGCGTTAGCTGATACTAATTCACCAGTCAGATGAGTCCTAACTCACTTTAAATAACCAGAGTTTCTTATCTTAGTATCTTCGTCTCGAAGAATCCCCCTTCCACCCAAACTCCCCCTCCTTTCTAGATGGGGGACATGGTGGCGCAGTGGTTAGCACTGTTGCCTCACAGCAAGAACGTCACTGGTTAAAGTCTTTACTAAACCAGTTGATATTTCTGTGTGGAGTTTGCTTGTTCTCCTCGTGCTCACGTAAGTTTTTTCCCAGTTTCCTCCCACAGTTCAAAAGCATGCAACCTAAGTGAATTAAACACACTAAATTGGCATCAAATTCAAGCTCTTAGCAAGCCGCATATCTCTCCTTAGCCATCCCTATATCTGTCATTATCCAGAATAGGTGGGGGGAGTTCATCGAGACCTACCTGAGCTCAAACTCCCCTCTCACCCTGCTATTGGGAGGGAGCCCCGGGCTCGAGGATCTTATGAGCTCAGGGCTCTGTCTTCTGGGACAGCATGCCAAACACTTTATAATCAATCATCATCTAAGTGTAAACTCTTGAAGATGTTTTATGCTGTGTAATGTGTTACGTTATTTTAAGTTGCTTTAGCTTTCTTTGGCCAAAAGCCGTCTCGCTTTCTGTCTGTTCCTGCATTCTCTTATCACTTCAGCCTGGCCACGCTCATTGTAGTTCAGCTCTTTATTTTTTAAAAGCGAATTAATTTAAATAAAAAGCATCTCGCATTACATTCTTAAACAAGTAACTCAAATATTACTACTTCATTTTTAAAGTAATGCATTGATTTACTCGCTACTTAGAAAAGTCATATTACTACAAAACTTGTGGAAACACTTTACAATAAGCTTCATTAGTTAATGCATTTACTAACATGAACTAATCATGAACAACACATGTACAGCATTTATTAATCATAACTGAACATTTACTAATGCATTGTTAACATTAGTTAATGCACCATGAGTTAACATGAACTAACAATGAACTACTGTATTTTCATTGACTAATGTTAACTAGCATGAACAAATACTGTAGTAGATGTAATGTTCATTGTTTGTTCATGTTAGTAAATGCATTAATTAACATTAACTAATGATCCTTATTGTAAAGTGTGACCAAACTTGTAATGTGTTTCCTCAACACTGCACTGCAAACACAATCATATAAACACTGCAGAGATGCTCTTATTAAACAGAGTTTGTGTCTTGTTTCTAGTCCAAATATCTTCAAACGTTTAAATCTAGAAGTGTTTTCTAGACAAGCAAACAATAATTGGAATAGTAATGTTCTTTCATCTTATTCATCCTATTGTCAGATTATTTTGCTTGTTTTAGGGAAAACTGTCTTTACTTGCCTCATCATTTCTGAAAACAACACAAGATGTTTTGCTTGTCTAGAAAATGCTTCTGGATTTAAGAGTTTTCAGATATTTGGACTAGAAATAAGACTAAAACTCTTGATAAGAAGTGATATTAAGTAAGTGTTAAGTAGATCTGATATTAGATCTGTGCTGTGTGTGTGTGTGTGTGTGTGTGTGTGTGTGTGTACAGATGGAGGATGGCGCTCGGCGCTCCATGATGGGCGATCGCTCCAAACTGCTGGCGTATTATCATGAGGACGCCAAAACCATGTATGAGGTGTTCCAGCGCGGCCTGCACATCACCGGTGAGTCCCGCTCTGAGAGACGCACATACACACACACACTCACACACAGTATCATCACACACACATCATATACTACATACAACTCTGGAGACGGCTCTGTGCTTTCACATTAGAAGACTAACCTCTGGAGGGGAAGGTGGAGGTGTGTTGATGACGTTGATCAGCTCTGACGTGTGTGTGTGTGTGTGTGTTTGTGTGTGTGTGTGTGTGTGTGTGTGTGTGTGTGTGTGTGTTTCTGAACAGGTGACGGCCCGTTTCTAGGCTCCAGACTGCCCAACCAGCCCTACACCTGGTTGTCCTACAGAGAGGTGAGCGGAGTGTGTGTGTGTATCGTGTGTATTGTGTGTGTGTATACAGGTCATCATCATGGCTCAAGTATTCAAGTATTAGTGGAGAAGGGGAATTATGATCACACTGCTGATGTCCTTCTTTCTGAACACTCATTGAAATCTCTCAGAATGAGTTTATTTTTCCAGAAAGCAAAAGTGCACACAGTTTCCCAGGTTAGGGTTGCAGTGGGAGTAGAGCGATAGAAAATGCAGTTTGTACAATACAAAAAGTAAGAGAAACCAATGGAATGTACCCACAATTCACAAAAACTAATGTGTGTGTGTGCAGGTGTCCACCAGGGCTGAGTACGTGGGCTCTGGTCTGTTGTCTCAGGGTTGTCAGCCGAACACAGATCAGCTGATCGGAGTGTTTGCACAGAACCGGCCGGAGGTAAAGCACATCTCTCTCTTTGATTCAAACTATAATATCTTATATTAAAGAAGACCTACAGTGTTCAGCATATATGAGTACACCCCTCACAGATCTCTTATTTAAATCTATATTTTCAATGGGAAGCTCTACTATATTATATTTGAGCATTTACATCAGATTAGTCATTAGATTAGCTAAATCTGGAGCTCATCTAACAAAATAACTGGAGATAATGGTCCAAAAACTAGTACACTCAAATGTAGATGTTATAGAAAAATATTAAATAGTATAAATAATATATTTTTATATAAAAAAATATTAAAAATCAAAATATATATTTTTTTAATTTAAAATATACAGTAGAAGTCAGAATTATTCGCCCCCTTTTAATTTGTTTCTCTTTTTGAAATATTTCACAAATGATGTTGAACAGATCAAGTACATGTTCACAGTATGTCTGATAATATTTTTTCTTCTGGAGAAAGTCTGATTTGTTTTATTTAGGCTGGAATAAAAGCAGTTTTTAATTTTTTAAACACCATTTAAAGGACAATATTCTCTAATATCAATATACTCTAATTACCCTAGTGAAGCCTTTACATGTCACTGTAAGCTGAACACTAGTGTCTTGAAGAATATCTAGTCTAATATTATGTGCTGTCATCATGACAAAGAGAAAATAAATCAGTTATTAGAGATGAGTTATTAACACTGTTATGATTAGACATGTGTTGAAGAAATCTGCTCTACGTTAAACAGAAATTGGGGAAAAAATTTTATTTGAATTTAAATGCGGTAAATTTGATGATGAGTGTGATGATCTCTGATGAAGTTTGTAAAGTTAAACAGGTTTAAATATGAAGCTCTCATTTTCCACTTGACCCAATATAAAGATGTATTTTGAATGAAAGATGCAGGAGTTTGCTGTAGACTGACCTGTTCGTCTTCATCTTCTCCTCCTCCTGCAGTGGATCATCTCTGAGCTGGCTTGCTACACGTACTCTATGGTGGTGGTGCCGCTGTACGACACGCTGGGGGCCGACGCCATTCGCTTCATCATCAACACCGGTGAGAGACTACTGACTGTAGGAAAATCAACTCCAGCAGACCTTTATCTTCAATACTGACTCTGTTAATGAGGGCGAGCTGCTGTGCTGCAGTTGAACAGCCTCTTTAATGGTCACTGAAGTGCTTTGAAAAATGCATTTTTAAAATCTTTGTCATAATCAAAACCAAAACACGAAGAGAGGGCGGGACAAAGTGTTGCCTCTCCCCTTTTAAAAAAACAGCCAATAGCATTTTGCAAAAAGTACATCACATAAACCCCCAATGAGAAGAAGGGGGCGGGGCATGTCAGAGACTAGAGATCATTTGATTTGTCAGAAGGTTAGATGAGAAGCTAAAGTATGAGTAGGTGGAAATAAAATCGATGATGCATTTAGGCAGAAGCGGGAAACTGCAAGTCTCACATGTTTATATCAGTTTATATCTTCCAAATGCAAATTTTGTCAGTAGATCACCAGTGATCTATGCTTGCAGATCTGTTATACACACAGTTCACCAAAGAACTACAAATCAGCCAGTATATGGACTACAAGCTCCAGTCATGCACCACACACTCACACCTGTTCCAGTTTCCCACTGATTGCTAACACACACACACACACACACACACACACACACACACACACACACACACACACACACACACACACACACACACAGCTGAAGCTGTTCACAACTGATTACATGGACTTTAAAAGCAGATCAGACACACACACCAGGGCTGAGTCTTGGTATGCCTACGCAATCTCACGGCAATTCGTACCTTTTTGATTTAGTGGCTAATGCATATGAATCCGTACGATCTAATTCTTACTGCTTAGTACAAATTGCTCATCACCAAATGACGGTTGGGAGCCACGCCTCCTTTTAAAAATTGTATATTTTTGTGTGACTGAATTAGACACTAAACTGACAAAACGTAAAACACTTACATTTCCCCGTGAGATCAGGCTGGTTATGTTGTTAGTGAACATTACGGCGGGTTTTCTTTGCCTTGCCTACCGTGTTTAAACCTTGCTTTGTTTTGTCCGTCATTACTAGGGTAATTAGGGTAAAGTTAGGGTAATTAGGGAAGTCATTGTATAACAGTGGCCATTATTTTTCTTTCCCGAAGAGCATCTTAATACACTATTGTGCAGTGTAAAATCTGAAGGGTTTCTTTGATGGAGTCTACATGTATTTCATTTGATGGTTTTGTGTTTGTGTGTTTCAGCTGAGATCTCCACCGTGATCTGTGATAAAGCAGAGAAAGCGGTGGTCCTGCTGGAGAACGTGCAGCGGGGAGAAACACCCGGCCTGAAGATGATCATCCTGATGGACACGTTTGACTCTCAGCTCCTGGAGGAAGGACAGAAGTGCGGCGTCCACATCCAGGCCCTCAGAGACGTCGAGGTCAGAGAATAAACATGTTTCTGATAAATGCTGATGATGGACTCAAGGGCTCCAATTTTGGCCTTTTTCTGAGATGTACACTGCAATAATGCTTTTCTTATTTACAGTTTTGTCTTGTTTCATGACCAAATATCGAAACATTCTAACATCAAGAAGCATTTTCTAGACAAGCACAACATATAGGCTTGTATCAAGAAATGATGCATCAAAATGAAGTGTGCTTTTGCTGAAAACAAGCTAAAGAAAAGCTTATTTCAAAATGAAAATCATGTTATTATGCTCACCCTATTGACAGATTATTTTTGGCTTGTCTAGATTAGAAAATGTTTCGGAAATTATTTAAGCATTACAGCATTCATACAAACATTGATAGTTTATCCTTTTTTTAATATATATATATATTATATATATATATATATATATACAATTGAAAACAGAAGTGTAAATACACTTTAAAAAGGCACATAACCATTTATAAAGAAAGGCAGATGTTAATGTGACTAAATGTTTCCTCTTTTAAGTAAGTTAGGATGATCCTAAAAATTGTTATAATTTTTCTTGAAAGTCAAGTTTACACACAATAAGATTATTCTGCCTCTGAAAAAGCTCAGATGATGATGTCGAGGTTTTGGAGGTTTCTGATTGGCTGATTGACAACATTTGAGTTAATGTGAGGCACAACTGTAGAATAGTATTGAAGGAAAAGCTCGAACACACTGCTTCCCTGTGTGACAACATGGGAAAACCAACAAGCCAGAATCAACAACAAAGCCAGATTACAGTTTGCTGAATGACACTGGGGAAAGACTGATGTGTGGAGACATGTCCTGTGCTCTGATGGAGCTAAGACTGAACTGTTTGGCCATATTGAGCAGTGTTACATCTGTAGGACAAAGGGGGAAAGCGCACAAGCCTAGGAACACCCTCCCAACTGTGGAGTATGGGGGCGGCAGCGTCATGTTGTGGGGCTGTTTGTGGGACTGGTCCACTTCACAGCATAGATGGCATCATGAAGACAGAACATTATGGAGAAATACTGAAGCAACATCTCAACACATCAGCCAGGACATTACAACTTGGCCACTAATGGCTCTTCCAAACAGACCATGACCCTGAGCACACTGCCAAATGAGGTCAAATGTGCTTTAAGGACAACAGAGGGAATGTTTTGGAGTGGCCATCACAAAGCCCTGATCTCAATCCTATAGAGAATGTGTGGGCAGAGTTGAAAAAGCTTGTGTGAGCAAGACAGCCTACAAATCTGACTCAGTTACAGCAATTCTGCAGGAGGAATGAGCCAAAACTCCTGCAAACTATTGAGAGAAGCTTGTGGAAGGAGACCCAAAACATCTGACCAAAGTTACACAGTTTAAAAAATTTACCAAAAATTAAAAAAAAAAATTCTCTCCTTATTCTGGCATGTAGCAAATGTAAATTATTTAGGCAGGTGGATATGCTCCTTTTTTTTTTAGATTATTTGCAAACTTCTGGTTTCAACTGTGTATATACAACCCTTAAAAAACACAAATGCTTGATCACGACTCTGCATGCCATGAAGATAATGGCAGAAAACATCGGGCCGACTCATGTCAGGTCAAGTCTGGGTTTGGGCTCAGACTGGGAATCTAAACTCTAAACTCCACCTCTCACAGTGACATCACTAGCTCCATTGAGTGCATTGTGTCTGACATTGCATGTGCGAGATGTGCTGTCTCAGATATGAAGTCTGCATCTGGATACTATTGCCTGGAGTCTGACGTCATTCGTGACACTTCTCCTGCATTCTGAAATAATTCCTCACAGCAAACATAAACGATCTGCAGCAGTTTTGCACACAATAATAAAACCAGGAACAAAAACAGTTTTGACATTTCAAAATAGCAAAGGCAACAGCGCTGGTGATCACAGCAGTTATTCTTATATAACACTCATTAATGGGCCACTGGCATTTATATTTTTGCCACCATCAACTAAACCTGAAAACAGTCAGAGTTTCAGTCAGTCACATTTACCACGAGAGCACGAAGAGCTCCTGTGATGAGCATGTAATTATAGGAAACGTGATTGTGATGCAGTAATGATGTGGAGGCAGAGAGTCTTCAGTGTTTACAGCAGGTCTGAGGGTTATTCTCAGACACGGGTTTCTCTGGTAGTTTATCAGGAGGATCTGGAGGAGAAGTAAAGCATTCCTGTGTGATTGAATCAGGACATGCGCTCAACATACACTGAGAATCGGAGAAAATACTGTGTGTTTCATTCAGAGACATCAGCTTAAGTGGACAAAGTACAGTTTTCTGATTATATCCTGTTTGATTCAGTTTGCCTCAAAGCAGAAAACAGTTTTTCTGCAATTAATATTTTACTGTAAGCCAGCAGCTTTCATCACACGCTGAAACAAAATGACACCATCAACCACTTTAAAAGATACTGTCAATTATTCTGATGTTTAGTTTTTCTCACAGTATAATTTAACTTTAATTCAAACTTTTTTAATTGAATCTAAATCAAATATATTTATTGTGGAGAAAAAAAAAACAACCATTCACTCAGAGTCATCTGTTTTACTCTGAGGTCAAAGTACCAACTTTAAAATATACTGTATTTTTTACAGCTAAAATTATTAATTTCTGTCAAATTATAGTTTTGAAACTGAAAACTGTAATTTAATATCAATCTAAATATTTATTCTGCTAAAGGAAAACACACACTGACTCACAGGTGAAGTATTGTTATTATAGTCAATGAATTAATTGATTTACGTTTGACTTAATCAGTTAATCACAATTTAGGTTGTACTTTGGACTAAACTATAATAAACACATGTGATGTTAGTCCGTGCTGTTATTTTATTTTCAATGATGAAGTAAACTGTCTGCTGGTGCTTTCAGTGTGGATATTAATGTCATGCATGATGGTAATAACACAACTCACATTAGAAATAGATGTAAACTAAAAGCCCGTAAACAGACGCATTTTAACGTGGTCACGACATGAGAACTGCTGCTGTACAGTGAATATATATCACTCTGAAAATAAACTATTGCTTTAAGTTTACCTAGCGGGTTGCTTCTTTGCTTTAAGGCAAATTAAACAGGTTATAATCTGTGGGGTAAAGTAACAAACTAGAAATACTCAGACTACTGTAATTGAGTAGTTTTTCTCAGGAATTGTACTTTATTAAGTAGTTTTATAAATGTGTACTTTAACTTTCCCTTGAGCACATTATTAGTGCTGTATCAGTTCTGCTACTCCACTACTGTCCTTTATCCTGCAGTCGCTATAGTATTTTGTCTATGGGGATTGGAGAAATCAGTCCTGTGATTCCTGCCCAATCAAATCACACATATACAGTAAATCACTTCATAATGAACTCCCTCATCACATGGGCGAGTTATATTTATAGCAAACTGTTTGCAAGCATTAAAAGTGTACAAAAAGATGTTCAAAATCTTTACATGCATTGACCCAGAGACTGATTATATGCAGGTCACTGATGAGAAGATGGCGGATGTTTACTGTATGATGACTGGAATGGCCTTAAACACCCAGCAGGCACAGGGTGTTAACATGACAGTGTACCCCAGCGTCGTGGGGACGTTGCATTTTGTCTGTAAATGAAAATCGGGTGACATCAGAACCCAACATCTGTCTGACATCAATGTCCAACAGCCAACCTGTGTTACAACAGCTAATGATGTTACAGCTTGATGTTGTGTGGACGTTCCCACTATGATGTTGGATTCTGGTTGCCATACCTGATGTCAGTATTTGAGGTTAATATGTCGCTGGGTTAAGATGTCGGCTCAATCTTGGATTTTTGTCACTTTCTAATAAAAAACAGAACAAACCTTTATTTTGGGATGCAGTTAATGTTGATTAATCTTTGCCCAGCACTAATTAAAGCACACGTTCTCACTCTGGTTTGTGATGCCACTTGTTGCCTGTATATGGTCTGTTCTCACAGTTTGTTTTTAGATCATTGTATTGCACATCGGTCAGCAGTGCATTGTGTTATTTGTGCTTTATAAATGAACTGTGACGGAGGGTCATTGTGATCATGCTTTCTTCTTGTTTCAGGCTCTGGGAAGAGAAAACCACAGGACACCAGTGGTGAGTCTCAAACTTAGTCATGTAAAGGGTCAGTTCACTCAGAGAACCGGCTTGACCTTCTTTCTACTGTTGAACACAAGGAGGATAATTTGAAGAATGCTGGAAAAACTGGAGGAAAATATTTTTGTTCCTATTATAGGTGTTAATAAATGTTTTTTTACAGCATTCTTTGAAATATCCTCCTTTGTGTTTGTGTGGACACTAATATACAGGACAAACAGGAAAATAAACTAGAACAAGTTGGGACAGTGTGGAAAATGCGAATGGAAAAGAAAGCGGTGATGTCCAAATGTACTTCGCCGTGTGCTTGATCAGACAATATGAACACAGAATATCAGATGTGTGTGTCTGCTCATCTTCAGTTGATGAGTGAATCTCCATCCTCCATCTGTTTCTGATTTGGGGATGTATTTAGCATCATATTTATATGTCTGATTATCATGCTTGATGTGAACGGGCCTTTAATCTGAGTGTGTGTAAATGTGTGTAGTGTGTGTAAATGCGTGTAGTGTGTGTAAATGTGTGTAGTGTGTGTAAATGTGTTGTGTGTGTCTGACTAATGTTCAGTGTTTCCTGTGTTCTCTTGTAGCCGCCCAGTCCTGATGATCTGTCCATCGTCTGCTTCACTAGCGGAACCACAGGTCAGAAACACCTTCACACACACACACACACACACACACACACACACACACACACACACACACACACACACACACACACGCATGCACACATATGATGAATGAATAATGAATGGATGAATGATTGATATATCTGTTGTTGTAAATCAGACAATAACACACACACACACACACACACACACACGCACACACACACACACACACACACACACACACACATTACTGAGGTTCAATCTTTAATGCTGTTTCTCCACTGTAGGCGGTGGTGATCTGCCATGGCGGGAGGATCGGCTTTTTTCAGGGGGATATTCGTCTGCTCCCTGATGATATGAAGGCTCTGAGGCCCACCATATTCCCGGTGGTTCCTCGTCTCCTGAACCGCATGTATGACAAGGTGAGAGAAACAACACACTTTCCCTGATGACTGTTTACACCACATCACTTGATTCTGATTGGCTGATGATTCTGATTGACTTTTATTCTAAATCTTGGACCAATGAAAAGGTGTGAAGCACCAAAAGCGACCTATATTAAAATATTGTTGTTATCCATCAATCCAACAATCTATTCCAGCTTAAATAGTGCTTAACATGTCAGTAAAATGCAGCATTTACATTTAATAATTAAATAGTAGTCTAAATGAGGCCTGTTATTGCAAAAAGGTCCACTTTTTGAGACAAAAGAGAACCACCGCTTTCACCAGGCTGTCCACGGGCCTGTAGCTGCGCTTTAATCCTGTCAGATTCATGCTGCAGTGAAGACGGATGTTAAACTAGATCCCCACCAATGTCAAAAGCAAATCTAAGCCCGTGGGTTGGTGACCACTGCTCGAGTGGGACCGCGTCTTCAGGAGTGTGTAGCAGTCATTCAGCAGTAATGTTTGTGTGTGTGTGTATGTGTGTGTGTTTGTGTGCAGATCTTCAGTCAGGCCAATAACTCAGTGAAGCGCTGGCTGCTGAACTTTGCGGCCAAGAGGAAAGGAGCGGAGGTGAGCCGCGGCGTGACCCGCAGCGACAGCATCTGGGACAAGATCTTCTTCCACAAGATACAGGTGTGTGTGTGTGTGTGTGTGTGTGTGTGTGTGTGTGTGTGTGTGTGTGTGTGTGCATCACAAAACTCAGTCTGACACATTTATGGCCAGATATATTGAAAAACAAACAAACAAATAAATAAATCTGTTATTCCAGTGGCAGTGATCATGTAGCTTAGGTATGTTCAGAACGTCATCAAAGTATTTTATATGCTTAGTAATGAACAGACGTAAACACACACACACACTCACAGCATGTTACACTCTGAAATACACATGCAAAATAATTATACTTATTTTGTCAAACAGTATTTTATCAATCTGAGATGTTAATTTAATAAAGTAAGCCGGCATTCTTTCACTCCAGAATCATAATGGTCTTAGTAAGAGCTGTGTGATATGACACAGTGCATTAAACACTAATCTTCAGCAGTCTACGTGTGTTTGTTGCCTCATTACACACATACACTGCTAATTCTACAATACACACATTAAACTGACAAAGGAAACAGTTAAACTGACGCTCTGCCTCTTCAGGGTGGTGCATTTGTGGGCATCAGGGAGTCTCTGTGCATTTGCAGGAGACTCAGGAAACTTCTGGGAGACTTGGGATATCTGCATTAAAACACTGTAAAGATGTGAAGCTTTAGTCTTCCTGCCTTTCCCATTTTCAAAATAAGAGTCTTACATACATTATAAGTTTGGGGAATGTTTAGTTTAAGTAAGAGTTTACACCATTACCTACTGCCTTTAACTAAGACATAAACTGTTGATCAGCTCTTATATAGCATGACAGGGGTGTCCAAACTAGGTCCTGGAGGGACCTACATGTTTTAGTTCCAACTCCAATTAAACACACCTGAACCAGCTCATCAAGCTCTTACTAGATATGCTAGAAAAGTCCAGGCAGGTGTGTTGAAGCAAGTTTGAGCTAAACTCAGCAGGACAGCGGCCCTCCAGGACCCAGTTTGGACATCCCTGTAGTATGATCTTACTCTACATCCCTAATATCCAAACCCAGCTACTTCCTCACCATTAATACGCAGCTAATTAGTAGTTTATTGAGTTAAAAGTCGTAGTTAATGATTGGTTAATGACTTGTTAATTGTGTGATTTGTGCATTATAATAAAGTGTGATCTGAGTTTAATATAAGCTTAGATGAACTTAAAAACGGCTGGAGGAAATGATCATTGCTGTAATCTCACTCGGAAATGCTGTGGCCAATCAAATGCAGCCTGGGGTGCGCATATTAATGATCTCGTGTGCCAGTCTGTGTTTTGTTCTGATTGGCCTGATTTACGGACACGCTGCCCCTTTCACCACATTGACTAAAATCAGCACGCGTGATTGCATGAGACCAACAGAAGATCAAAACAGGACCACTCTGTACGCATCAATGCCTAATCATCTTGTTTTATCTATCCTGCCTCTTTTCACAGCATCATACGTCAGAAATGTGCATGCTCAACTCTAGTGTGAGCACGGCTTGAGGCTATACTGAAACATTATTCTGCATTTAGGCTACCTTTAGCTTTGCCAGCCGCTACACAGAGAGAGACACAGACCAGAGAGGCTGAAGCCAAAGCAACGCTGATGAGCTCCTGTGTGTGTTTATGCGTGTGTGTGTGTGTGTGTGTGTGTGCTCCTACAGGCCAGTCTGGGTGGTCGGCTGCGTATGATCATCACTGGAGCAGCTCCGGCATCTCCGTCCGTCCTGGACTTCCTGCGAGCTGCGCTGGGCTGCCAGGTGAGCCGTCTGGAGGACAGACCTTCCTCCTGCTGCTGCTCATCTTCATCATCTTACTGCATGTGTGTGTGTGTGCAGGTGTACGAGGCGTATGGTCAGACCGAGTGCACCGCCGGATGCACCTTCACCACACCTGGAGACTGGACCTCAGGTGAGACGGCCAGATTCACCAACAGCCTGAGCTTTCTGAATGTCTGCAGCTGATGGAGCTTATCACAGATTTTATATTAATCTTTTTTCCTATTTAAAAATGTTAACTTATGTCGATCAAAGTACTTTACAGAGCAAACTACACACAAACTCTATACTTAAACACACACGTGAAGTCAGTCAGCCTTCTGTTTCCTGGTCACTGAGTGTACTGCAGCAGACTGACTGTGCTGCTCTCTCTGATGCACATCAAACACACAGCAGACTGACTGTGGTTTACTGCCTGATGAACTCACACTGAAGTGCCTTTTCAGTCTGTGATTAGCAGATAAGCAGCTGATAATGATCACCCAGACGCTCAACACAGTAACAAACACACAGCGCGCACATATACACAAAGACAATACTGCAGGAGGCTGATTCTGATCAGTGACCTATGCAAGACTGTAGTGATCCCAGGATAAATCTGCTCATGCTTTAGTATATGGAAAATAATTGATCATTTTTACAATAAAAATAAAAGTGGCATCTGTAAATGTCATTTTAAGGGTTATTCTGATCATTAAACTATAATAACACACTAAACACACTGCACAAACATAATAATAATGCATCAGAATGTAATAATAATCCCCACAAAATGTGCTAGTTAGCCTAATATACAGCTCTACATTTGGCTGTATGTTCATTCATGATGAACAGTAGCGTTCTGTATTTTGAGACTCCTAACTAATGCTGTGTATGCCAGTGAAAGTGTAAACAAAATCAAGAGATGACACTTTTATGTGTGTTTTGACATGTCTTGTCCTCTCTGGCCCCGTCTGTATCTTCATTAAACGGATGCACATATACACAGAGCATTGATAATCATAGCTGCAGACTGAGGACGGATGTGCTGCAGACAACAGCATGCAGGAACCGTGAGAATCATCATATTTCTGCTGCCTGTCCTCCATCCGCTGTCAAACCGCAGATCTGGAGCATGAGTGTGTGTGCTGAGAGCGCCATCCTGTGGCTCATTCCTGCAGCACACACCACTGTACAGTCATCAGCTCACATTCACCAGAGCTCACAGTCTGAGTCAGAGGCAGCCTTAACTCTGCCCCCTTTCACAAGCTCTGCTGTCTCTCTTGTGTGTGTTTGAGTCTGAGCTGAGATTAGCACACAGATAATGTTCTCCAGCTCTCTGAAACTGACCCTTGCAGGCTTTCTTCCTAATTGTGGTGTTTTGGTGACTGTCGCTTTAAATGCAAATGAGATTGTGCTCTTTTCTGAAGAGGGCGGAGCTACAAACACCTGTGTGTCAGCATAGTGACAGGTGTAAAACAGCAGTGTGTGTGTTGTGAGTGCTGGTCAGGTGTGTGTGTGTGCTTCAGTGTGAGTGTGTGTTGCAGCTTCTGTCAGTCTATGTGGCTCCTGTCACTGTTCATCTAGAACTCCACATCTATAATCCTCTTAGTCTATGCTGAGATCATCTTCAGCAGCTCAAACACTCTAATGGCTAATGGACAGACGACTGCTTCTCACTCAGGCCTGCTGATTATGCTAATGAGATGGAGAGATGGGCACTAGTGGGCGGGGCTTTCCCCCTCTGATGACACGTACAGCAGGAGAATGTCAATCACAGTGTTTCTGCATCAAGTCTGATTAGAACAAACACGACTCCCTCATCTTTATCATTAAAGGCTGCTGGAGATACTCACACACACACACACACACACACACACACACACACACACACACTGCTCACACACACACTACTTGGTCTAAAGCCCTTATAAACGTGATCTTGTGTTTGTTTCTGCAGGTCATGTCGGAGCTCCTCTGCCGTGTAATCTCATTAAACTGGTGGATGTGGCTGAGAAGAACTACTTTGCTGCTAAAGGAGAGGGAGAGGTGTGTGTGTGTGTGTGTGTGCACTGCTCTGTTAGAGAGAAAAGCAAAGTAAGTAAACAGAACACTTGGGGTCATCATGAATGCTGGACGCTGTGTTTCAGATCTGTGTGAAAGGGCCGAATGTGTTCAAGGGTTACCTGAAGGACCCGGTGCGGACCGCCGAGACGCTGGACGCTGATGGATGGCTTCACACTGGAGACATTGGGAAATGGCTGGCGGTAAGATGATGAAAACACTGTTGCTCCTTCAGGACTCCTCGATTATGAAATATCGCAAATGTAATGTAATGTAAGATTATTTCAGTGCGCTTCTCTTCCACATTTCTATAAATAGCAATGATCATGCAAGTGTGTGTAGCTCACTCCACCTTGTAAACAGCTCAGTCAAGTTGGTTTTAGGTTTGATATTTGCCCGACATTTGAGCACGCAATTATAGGATCATCTGCAAAGTACATCGACAAAACAAGGATGCACAGAAACGCAAACAAGAGGAAAGTGTTTCTAGAAGATTCCAGTAGAGGCCTGACTGATTCACTACAGAGAGCACGACTACTATACCTCTAACCATACAGCACATACACAGCAGAAATAGACAATAGACCTATCTCTTGTCATTAACATCAGTTAAACCCCTAAATGTTATTTTCTCACTATTTCACCTTCATTTATGTACACATCACAAATATATAGATATATAATTTTAAAGTGTGTAGCACATCGCCAGAAGAGGTTACAACAAGTGAGATTTATTCATATTTGTATTTATATAAATATATAGAATGCAAATAATTTTTAAAGATACTTACAGTAAATCACCCTACTGTAATTTAATGATTTTAAAGGGTGTCAGTGAGGCCTCTGAAAATGTACTACACTCTTTAAAATCATATAATGACAGTAGGGTGATTTACTGTAAATATTGCTCTTCAATATCTGTGTACTGTACAAATATAAAGGTAAATAAGGGTAAAATATCACCTGTAGTAAGTCAGTCTGGCCGCTGTGAATGTACTACACCCATTTAAATCATAACATTACAGTAGGGTGATTTACTGTAAATATCTCAAAAAATTATTTGCATTTTATATTTTTAATGAATAAATTTCACTTCCACTTCTGGCAATGTGCTACACACTTTAAAATGATATATATATATATATATTTGTGTGATGTGTAAATTGTGTACATGTGAGAAAATAGCATTTAAGGGCTTTACTGATGTGTACTGTATGCCTTTATTATTATTACATTATGTATTTTATTATATTATATAATTATAATCCCGACTCAATATTGCGTATACTTGCCATGTGACTATTGCGAACGATCACAATGCGATATCGATGCTGAAAACATTTAATGTGCTGCTCTAATGAGCACAAAGAAGGACAATCAGGAGGTAGAGGCTGCAGAGCGTTCTAGACAGAAACACTGGAGCTGTTGCACATCATAAAGTTCATCAGTACATTACGGTCAGCGCTCTAACATGAAGCCCTGTGTGTGATTAGGCATTTCTTTATATTTACACTTTAATTACGCTGCACAAATATGCATCAATATTCTGGCACATAAAGATGAATATAACTGATGACAGAAGCAGTGTAAGGCTGACGTGTCTAGACTGATTTCCACAGGAGCAGCAGGCGTTTCTTTATTATGCTCAGTGGGATTCTGTGGCCAGGGCTAGAGATTCTGTATAAGCATCAGGAAATGTTTCTTTTAGTAATTGTTTGTCTGTTTTCTCCATCAGAACGGCACACTGAAGATCATCGACCGGAAGAAGCACATCTTTAAGTTAGCTCAGGGTGAATATATTTCCCCAGAGAAGATCGAGAGCATCTACATCCGCAGTGAACCCGTGTCTCAGCTCTACGTCCACGGGGACAGCCTGCAGGTGAGTAAGAGAAGAGTTTACTGGATTACATTACACCAATGAAAACTGCGAATCAATTCATTTATTTATTTATATATATATGTATTTATGATGATATGATGTGGTCAGGACTGATGGTGGTGTGGGGAGACCCTCCTCATGCACATTATATGTATATATATGCACATTACTTACTAATTTGTACATATATACTGCATTTATTACGGCTGGCAAAAATTAGTCGCTATTAATTGCATCCAAAAATAGGTTGTTTGGACCTAATATATGTGTGTGCTGTATTATATTTACATGCATGCATTTATTTGAGAAAATGTTTCTATATATTTAGATATAAAATATACTGTATATGCATATCAAACAAATTATATCTAAATTTAAATATCTCATAGTGACAATATTCTCCTGTATAAATACACTTCTATGTATGAGTTTATATCACATATACATAATAAATATACTATATATAATAGACAGTAGGCGGCACGGTGTAAAACGCTGTGTATGTGCAGGAATAGTTGCCGGTTCATTCCGCTGTGGAGACCCCTGATTAATAAAGTGACTAAGCCGAAAAGAAAATGAATGAATGAATAATAGGCAGTTGACACACACACACATATATTATGTCAGAACCTTTATTTTGGATGTGATTATCGCATTAATCTTATCCCAGCTCTAGAATTCATATAAATATTATCCTCTGACTATTTTTGGATTTAGATTACTTTTGTGCGAACCCTTATTGGACGTCACATATACTGATGCAGGATAATCTTGTGCTATTTTGACAGAGAGAAATATAAATTCTCTTCGTTATTTATCCTCATCAAGAGCCTGAAGAGCTTGAGTTTAAACTTCACAACACTCACACTGATATACAGTACGTCACTGTCAGGGTCTGCTTAGAGTAACTCTATAGAGTCACTAAACCACATATTCTGCAGTTAGGAGCATTACAATACAGTGTGTTTGCATTGTGAGGATGAGCAACACATTTGCTGTCAAACTTAAGATCTTTTGTAATTTGCTGCTGTTTTTTGCAGTTGTGTGTGTTTTTTTAGGTGCAGTGTGCTAAACTCTCTCAGCCATCGCACACTTCTGACTTAAAGTTACTTTTATTCAACCAACAAGTTTAGTTTTTGACTGTAACTGGCACAAGCTTCTCCAAAAATATAATACAGTGATGTACAGAGGCATCATAGTGGAAAAACATATCTCAGCTTTTGTTTACATTTGATCAAAAACTTTGTCAGAACTTGCCACGGCAAAAAAAAAAAAATATATAATATAATAAATATAATATAATATTATAAATTATCATAAATATAATATAATAAATATAATAAATATAATATAGCATAATATAATACAAATATGAGAATATAATCTAATAAATAAAATAATTGAGAATATAATACATTTAATATAATATAGTATAAAATAATAAATATAATATAGTATAATATATGAAAATATAATATAATAAATATAATATAATATAATAAACAATAAAATAGAGAAAATCAATGAGTTGTAAACTATTTACCATCATAAAAAAATTATAAAAAAACTGCGTGTGTATTCCGATTATGAGTATTATATAAAGTAGTTTCCTCTTATTACTAGTACTGATTGTCATAATCTGATTATGAAATTTTTTATTATTATAATCCAGTTTAATATTAATCATACACCCTCCATCTTCACACTCGGATCTGTGTGTGTGTGTGTGTTTCCAGTCGTGTCTGGTGGGCATCATTGTCCCGGATCCGGAGGTTTTTCCCTCGTGGGCTCAGAAGAAAGGTTTTGACGGAGGTTTCCACGAGCTGTGTGAGAATAAAGTAAGTCTGATCCTGAACTGGCTGAGCGTGGGTCAGTGTATTCTGACTGTTAACTGTGCTGTTTCTGTTGTGCTGTGTGTGTGTGTGTGTGTGTGTGTGTGTGTGTGTGTGTGTGTGTAGGAGCTGAAGAAGGCTATTCTGGAGGACATGGTGCGGCTAGGGAAAGCGAGCGGCCTCCATTCATTTGAACAGGTGCGTTCATAAACTCAGCCTTGAGTTATCCGTGATGATCATGTGTGGCTGGAAAGCGCACGTTTAACCCTTAAAGCTTCCCTAAAGACATTTCTGGACAAAATCATTTAATTTAGATCTTTTTAAAAATAGTTTCTTTAATCTGAGCAGTTTGAGATTGGGTGAACTGGGTGCTCCGGTTTCCCCCACAGTCCAAACACATGCGCTATAGGGGAATTGATCAACTACATTGGCCGTAGCGTATGAGTGTGTGTGTAAATGAGTGTGTATGGGTGTTTCCTAGTACTGGGTTGTGGCTGAAAGGGCATCCGCTGTGTAAAACACATTCTGGAATAGTTGGTGGTTCATTCTGCTGTGGCGAGCCCTGATGAATAAGGGACTGAGCTGAGGGAAACTGAATGAATGTACAGTACCGTATGTTTGACCTGCTTAAGAAATGCTGATTGTTGTCCATCAGTTTGTATTCAGTGGCAGAATCACACCACACGTCCACATGAGATGATCCCTCCTGTTTCTGTCTCTCCTCCAGGTCAAAGACATCTACATCCACAAGGAGATGTTCTCCATAGAAAACGGATTGCTGACCCCGACTTTAAAAGCCAAGAGACCCGAGCTGAAGGAGTATTTCAAGGAGGAGATCCAGGACCTGTACAGCAGCATCTCCATGTAACCAAAGAGCGGGACGTTTTGGCCATTCCTCCATCATCATCATCATCATCATCATCATCATCATCATCATCATTTCTCCTCCCTCATGGAAAGCAGCTGGCAGTGGCAGCAGCTCTGAGCGAATGAGCCGTGGGTCCAGACCGAGCATGAGCTTACAGAAGCAGTGATCTTCCTCTGGCCGTGAATGTCAACAGTCGGTGTGCCTTTAGAAAACCACAGCAGAACCTCCATGTCCAGCTAGCGTGCATGTTTCATTCCTCCAACAGGCAGAGGATCAGACGGTCCAGTTTTGCTTAGGGCTCAGAGAGGATATCCAGCAGACGTTGAGCTGAAGGCCATGCATGCAGGGTGCCGGCGCTCCAGCGTGGACGTCCCCGTCATTCAACTCAACACTACACTCGTCATCAGATCTGTGCGCTGACTCCTCAGAATCAGTCAGGACTCGATCTGTCATCTAATGACCCAGCGGCAGCACATCCTCTCAGCTTACTAAACAAAGTAAAAACACTTCCAACATCTCTCAGAGCAAACTGCCGCCTCAGTTAAGGATGTAAAACAGGGGTGGCACATTTTGTCAGCTTCAAATGTCAGAATGAATCAGCATATTAATAATGATGTATGAACATTTCAGAAGTCCATCAGGGTGAATTATTAGGGGAAGCTTATTTTACAGCATGTATATCCCCAGCAGGCACACAACGTCTTAAGACATTACTATTAGCTTAGATTTAGGTCGTGACATCATGTGACCAAACGTCAATATCGTGCCAGTGTGTAAGTTCAGCATTATTGTTTAATGACGTTGATATTTGGTTGATGATTGGTGTTGGAAAGTGAGCAAAATACGTCAAGCCAACATCTTAAACCAACATCATATTCATCACGTCAGACACTGACACTTGTTCAAAACACAACATCCAATGTCTGATAGACGTCATAGTGGTAACGTCCACACAACATTATTAGACGTTGATATTTGGTTGGACATTGACAATTTTCATTTCCAAACAAAATGCTGGGTCAGATTGAACTCCTTATCTCTCTTATTATATCTTTATTTCAGATGGTAACTTTTAATAAAGATGTACAAACAGGATAGCACATTTTGTCAGCTTCAAATGTCGATCAGAATAACTACCAGCTTAAATAAGGGTGTAAACACAGATTATTTACCTAGTTTCACAGGAAAACTCATTAAAGTTTGACTTGTTATTTCCTAAAACTAAACAGTATGCTTTACTTGCTTAAAAAAAGCTTCTCTGTCGGATATTGTTAGATATTAATCCACCAGATGGCAGTTCAGTGCCAGAATCTGGATTGGATTGTAATTTGGTTCACAGCAATAGCCGACACAGAACACCACACAAATAATTATTAAAGGTCATATAAAAACTAACTATTATTAAATAAAATGGTCATTTAAACAGAACAGTTACCAATAATACATGTGCAAACAGCAGGAGTATCCAGTGATCATGAGCAAAACACAACTTAAATCAAGAGGCCTCTTCTAGACAAGTAAAGCACGTTGTCTTATCTTCAGGATGCAGCACATGTTGTCTGCTTCAAATGTTATTTCAAAATAAGAGTGTCAATATGTTCAAATGTCTATCACCCTGCATTTTAAATTGAATTTGTTTCATTTTTAATTAGCTTATTGTTTATTAGAGAGGTAGTTCATTGCATTTGATGCTGACACATGGTGTTACCCGTTTATACACCCAAGTTAAAGCTGCTAGTTCATTCTGATAGACGTGTGAAGCAGATAAGATGTGCTCCCGCTGAAACATGACAGATTGAGCTATTTTGAAGAGTTCATCAGCACAGATCATCTGAACACCGGTGCGACTCTCTCTGCCAGACCACTCGCTTTTCAGTTCTTTCACCCTGAAGCATTTCAGTAGTAGTGTACATTTTTGAAGAAAACTAGACGTGAGAATATATAAGCAATGGTTTGACGTGTAGAGAAACCAGTAAGATTTGAGTCTGCTCTTGAATGATATCAGAACTTTCTCTTTGTGTTTGGCAGAAGGCTCATGTTCATTTCTGTATTATCACACTTCAGCACATTCTCACTCCCGACTCCTCATTTAATGTCCTTTGTGATGCTCCGGACATCCCTTCGGCTTGACTTTTGCATTATGCGTCTGATTATGCAGTGTATTGCGTGTGTCTGTCAAATACGAATCACTTTATTAAGATGCATACTCTCAGATAGTGTTGTCGAAAATGTATGGATAATTATCTACAGTGTACTCAACTATTTAAAATGATCCAGTCTTGCTTTCGGTTTGTATTGAGACCAAAATCAGAAGAGAGATGAACAATTAATAATACTATTAAGATTTCAACACTTGTTTTAATCAGAAAATAAGACGAGATTGCACTCATTTAGTGTCATGTTCCCTAATTTAATGCATTTCAGACTTAAGGACTGCTGACGTACCGGGGATAAAAAGCATTTTACAGTTTAGTGTACTTCATTTGCATACTTTTAATGCGGCATCATTTGTTCCCCACGGTATCAACAATAGTATCGAATATCGGTATTTTCAAGGTATCGTATCGAAGTTGGAAATTCCAGTATGGTGACAACACTACTTACAATAATGTTTTGGAGCATCTTCCACACACCAGACCCTAAACCTGCCCACTTCACAACAACATAAAGCAGCAGCAGCAGGCAAAAGACAGTGGAATCACCTCTATTTATTACAAAAACAAGCATAGAAAAGCAATATAAACAAGGCCTGTTGCATTATAACCATGTCTATATGGGAAAAACGGAGTGATTTATGATGTTTTGACATGGGCGAGGTGAGCCAGCAGTTGTGTCGGTTCCTTCTAGAAAGTCTTGGAAGACTTGAATACTCTTATCTGTTCAGTAAACTGCGGCTGTAGTTGTATCTGTTCACTATGACCTGTTTTATATTGACGAATGGATGTATGGATGGGTTTAGTGCTAGGAGCTGGTTTACTTGTGTAACGGAGGCCAGCGAGTAAGTGCTGTGCAGGTAAACCTCACTCCTCTGACCTTTAAAGGTGCTCTAGCGACAGACGCCAGAGGTCATGGTCTTTAGGCTCCTTGGTAGAGCAACCGAATCCCATGCGGAAGGTCACCGGTTCGATACCAGCTCGGAGCGGGTTGGGTGGCATATAACCAGCGTGGTTACATTTGCTCGTAAATCTGTTCAAGGTGTAATGTACGTCCAGTAGTTTTGACTGTTTACTCTAGACAAACTCACACCTCAATAACAGCCAAACTATTACCCGACATGTCATTTCATCTCAACCCTTTGGATTAGCACATCAACACCAAAGGTTTTAAAGCAAGGATAGCCCTATACACTTTATGAAGGGGTTCACTATATATAATGACGTCAATATAATGCTATTATACAGATTATTGTAGAGCAGTCGGGAGTGAGAATGTGTCGCTCAGTTATTTTAGATTTCTTCTTATGGCATTAAAACACGATGCATTTCACTCGCCGCCTTTCGTAGGCCTCCTCAGTCGGCCTGTGTTGTGTTTCCGCTAGAATGTTTTTTTTAGCTAATTTAATGATCAGGGTTATTCTGTTGTTCATTTATTTATTCCTCTCAGAGGTTGAATGCCCCTAGTCTCCGCACAGCTTTATGCTCAGTTTTATTTGCAGATCAACACAGCTGATTCCTCCTAGTTTCAGGCTCGGGATTCGGTGGTGAGAATCGTCAGAGCAGCGTTCTGTCAGCGTCTGTTTAATTAGCATCGTCAAGCGTTCATCACAGTCTTTCCGTCGAACAGCACGTAGACATTCGCCAGTATGAGCGGTGAGCCTTACACACGTTTTATGTTACAATCTGGAGAGAAAGAACGGTTTGTTTTCCCTTGATTTTGACCAGCGGTTTGTGTTTTGGTAATTCTAACAGTTCACCTGCATCTTTTCCTGATAATAAAGTCTTTTCTGCGCATGTACATCTCTGCATATACACTGACATAGTGACGAGTGTGAGCAACAGATGTAAAAATAAAGACGAATTCTTTGTAATTCTACTGGTTGTGGTGATGTTTAGTGTGTGTGATTAAGATCAGAGATGTCACATGATTAATATTCCTCATGACAGATGGAGTGATGTGTGTATGCCGGATCTTTCAGTGTTTGTCAAAGCCCTGCGATGGGTTTTCTGATATGTGGTCAGGTTCAGCATGTTTGTTGACTGTGAGCTGATACTGAATGATCATTTTTGGGTGAACAACAACAGCCAGTCTTTCTTCTCTCTCTGTCTTTGATCATTGTTAGATCCCATGACTAGGGCCATGACGAATCTGCTGACATTCTTGTGCTATTTCTGCACAGCATTTAGTAAAATATGCAGATTAGCTGTGAAGATAGCTGTGTGTGTGTGTGTGTGTGTGTGTGTGTGTGTGTGTGTGTGTGTGTGTCTGAGATAGTACTTGATCATGTTTAGTTCATGTGGATTCTGAATGGCAAATGCTGAATAGTGATAAAGAGCAGAAAACTGGGTAACACTATAATAACTCCACACTATGAACCATTTATTAAGCATTAGCAAATAGTGAATTCATCATCTGTTAAGCGCTAACTCTACATTAACAAACATTAGTAAGCAGTTTATAACTGCAGCTACAAATGCTCTATTCTTGACTTACAACCACATGTATAATGTGCTTAATTGGACTTTCATACTTTGTTAATTATTTATTGTTCATTACTAAATTATTACATCTTTTACAAACCAGTTATTTAAGTATTGTTGGTGTTTTTTAAGGTCATTCAGAATGAGTTAGTAAATGATTAATAAACTATTGAAATCAACATTTATATGTCTTATTATTCAGGCATATACTAATAGTTAACTAATATGTTAATAAATGCTTTATTAACACAACTTCATGCAGTTTTGTGAGCTAATCTAAAGTGAGGACTATTAATGCTTTAATAAATGCCTTATAAATGACTATTACAGCATCAGTTAAATTCTAAAAAAGTACATAAACATTATTCATTTCTATTCATTTAAAGATACACAAATCAAACAGTATCAAATGAAAGGTAGATCTGTTCAACGTGATCTAAAATAAAAGTACTGTGCAGTTTAAACATTGCACCTTATCATAGTGTTAAATTATTAAATTGATGTTGTTTTACCCAATTTTATGTTGTATTTTGACACTCCTGTTATTCAGCCATGTTTAATACTCACAGTAATTTTGCTTTTTAGATAAGAGTGCAAAGATTATTGTTCATTTGATACCGAGCCTTTAATAATCATTTATAAAGCATGAAGACTCCTCACTTTAGATTAGCTCACAGAACTGTATGCAGTTGAGTTAATAAAGCATTTGTTAACATACAGAGTAACCATTGACATATGCCTGAATAATAAGATGTAAAAACCTTGATTTCAATAGTTTATTAATCATTTACTAACTCATTCTGAATGATCTTAAAAACCTCCAACTACTCTCAAATACACATGGTTTGTAAATAATGCAATACTTCATTTAGTAATGAAAAATAAATCATTAACAAAGAATGAAAGTGCAATTATTAGGCACATTATACATGAGGTTGTAAGTCAAGAATACAGCATTTATAATTGCAGTTATAAACTGCTTGCTAAATTTGATAAATGTACAGTTAATGATTAACAAGTATGCTTGATAATGCTTATTAAATGATTCATAGTGTGTAGTTATTATAAAGTGCTACTGAAAACTCCTGCTCATGTTCAGGAGCAGAAACAGACAGACGACACTTCACCTGTTGTTCTTCATCTTTCTGGAGGTGTTCCTGAAGCCCAGAGCTGCTGTCAAATGAAGGTCTGTGTTGATGGAGCGCTGTACTCTCTGCCCGGTAACAGGAGCAGTCGGCTTTATTCAACAAAATAGTAAAAATACAGTTTATATATAGCACAATCTCTTATATCAGCTGTACATCATCAGTCACATTCATTTACAACAGAACAGACCATAAAAAACCTGTATGCTTATATCAATAATACAATCGACGCTGTTCAGACCCAAACTACACACGGACTAACAGTAAACCAGCATCCATCATCATACTCCAGTTCTGTCCCTTAATAGAATAGATTTATCAAGCCTGTACAGCCAATGTCCAGTTGATGTCCACATGTGCTGCAGACGGAGAGAGATCTGCTGTCAGCCTGTACAAAACCCCCCGTCCGCCCGGGACGGACCTGTCCAGACGCACAGCTAGCATATAAATATAGTTCCCTTGTCAAGCAGTGGTGATCCGGCTCACGGCAGTATGTACAACTGTAGAAAGCAGCTGTTCATCCGGCACACGCACGCACGCACGCACGCACGCACGCACACACACACACACACACACACACAACCACATACACACAGCACTGTTATTGCGGAGAAACCCAGGCAGCAGACGGAGAAATACTGTAAACCGAGGAGCTGTAAACACGTCTGATGCTGAGTAGAGTCCAGAAGATGAGCAGAGCATCAGAGCAGTACCGTAACGCTGAGTCTGTGTGTGTGTGT